GCATATCCGATTCCTCCACCGTTCACAATTAAAACTTTTCCATTCGGTAGTATAACAGGATCACCCATGACTCTGGGGATCTCAAAAGTGTCATAATCCCAAGTTGGTTTTCCGACACTTAGGTCTATTCTTCCGCAAGTGTTATCGGCAGTTGCCTTGGTGTTCCCAAATTTCGTACCACCACCGCAAACCAAGAATTCAGGCTTATAATTATTCTCATAGGTGAGAGGCAAAAGTAAACCAGTGCCGGTGAGTGGATACGTTCTTGGAGGTCCATTGATATTGGGGAGATTTTTAACATAGGCTTCTTTAGCGTAATCCCAGATGGCAGCATGGTTACCGCTGAAGAGAAAAAGTTGTGTTCCGTAAGGCAAGACACACGCGTGAGGATAAAGATTGTACGGAAATGCTTTTAGAAGGAAGTCAAAGGGAGGGCTCTGCGTCCCTTTGATATTTGGGTAGAATTCATATGTGGGATTCTGGGAAGATTTTGTACTGATTGAAGTTGCCGCGGTGGATCCACCAATGATGAAAACTCGACCGTCGGGAAGTCTAGAGAACAAAGGTGAACGTGAATATCGTTGTTCAGAAGGAAAAAAAAAATGTAGAAAATGAAGAGATACACACGTGACCATAGTGTTATACCACCGAGGAGACATGAGATATATCGGACGCTCTATCCATTCGCACTTGTCATCTGTACATGGATTCCATATACGAGCCGTTCGGAATCCAGAAGAAACACGATTCGATCCCTACAAGATGTAATTGGGAAGTCAATTTCAAACAATATACGGTATATATCCAGTATGTATAAAGTAAAATAATAAAATGTCATGAAATTGTGCATACAACGCCATTAGCTCCACCGGTCTCGATCAACGTACCATTACTTGTAAGACAAATTTATGGTTGAAGGTTAAAATTTTGAATTAGCACCAACAAAAAGTTATAAATAGAGTAACGATAATCACCCTAGATAAGAGCCGGCAGAACAGAAAGTATTGGTGGAAAGATCTAGCACACGATAAGCAGGATTGGTGGTGGCAGTAAGGTCATACTCCACGGATAATCCGTACAAGCCATTCTTGCGAATTGCGAATATATTCCTTTCGGCTATTAAAAGATGATAATTGATTCATAAATATCAGCGAACAGTGAGATAAATGTTGTTGATTAGAAATAAAAAATCGCGACAAGATAAATTGGTTCGAATATACTCTACCTTTATCAATAATCAGCATCTTTGTCGGGCCGGATTGTACCATGTGCATAGCCGACACGCCAGTACTGATCATTGAAATTGAAAGGGGAAATTAAATTACAATGACTACTTTTTCCTCTGGAAGAATCTCGAGACACTTACTTTGGAGCGAACGCCCAAGAACCGCTGCCTGGCTTCACAGGTGGCGAAGTATCAACTATTGCGTCCGCCTGAAATATCATCATACTCAAGGTAGCCAATGCCAGCGACAGTAATGGGTACTTCATGTTTATTGGTTATTTACCCTTCGAAAATATTTTGAATTGCTGTATAATTCGAATAAAACGGTGGGAGTGTGTATAATGACTGTAGTTATGAGGAGATGTGGGTGTAAAGGGAAGACGAGGGTAAAATGTAAGGCAAATGAATGGGAAGTCGCTTCTCTCTTCGAGGGAATTGTTGTCGGCTACCTCATGTATCTTTCGATAAAAGTGAAAAGTTACCAATAAAATTTCCAATGGTAACCTAATTTATAATATAATGCGCTCACGAATATGTGTTATACAAGAAACCAAAGGTAACAATTTATTATGGTATGTTGAACAAAGCTAAGAGCAATTAAATTCATCTCCCTCATAGACCCAATATAAACACAATATAAACAATTGCAAGCTTTCCATTTAATTACTCACATATTTGTTTACGAGTTATACCCTTACTTGATGTACTTATATATCCTCTGGTATCACTTCATCCACCATATTGTGCGCGGAGCAATTCATGCATGTGTAATTGCTCGATCGACTTATGTTGGGATGTTAATTGTTACATGACCCTAGTTTGGTAGTCGCAAACCGCAAGACGAGAAGTGGATTTCCGAAATAGGTTATGATACCCTGGAAATTTCTTTATCCGGTGTATATTATCTTTCTTGCACAAGCATAGATGCTAATAATATTGGCATTCAACATTCAAAAGTGTGATTGACATGATTATTTCCATTTGCGGGTTGGCGAGTATAATCTTTGGCATGGCCGTTTCCAGTATCTTTGAAACCATTATTAAAGCACGCATGATATCACGAAAAGTAGATGCACGTATTATTTAAGATACAGGAATTGGAAGCCGTAGAGCGCATTATACTATTCGCGTAACCTTTGTAGGACATGCAAAACATTAAATTATTTTGTGAATGTATGCGTAAATAGAATTTTTACTTTTAAACAGTATAACCTTTGCTTTCTAATAATAACGATTACATAAGATACCGGAAGATAAAAATATCGAAGAAACAATCTATTTCAGTAAAGAGATACCTACCAGTTAAACCATTCCAAAATCCACTTAAAATATAAAAATATTTCGAAAGTAATCGATTTACAATATATAAAAACAAATAAAAACGAATAAACAATAGAAAAATATTTCTTGCACGTGCCATATACTGTACGGGATGTTGTAAAAAAAAAAAATGGTATAATTTTTACTGTACATATATATATTAATCGATAATTAATATTCTTTAATTTAAAATCTACGAATGTACTAGCGAGTACACCCAGATAGCGAAAAGGCCTGGGCTATACTCTAGGATTAGTTATTTGAGTTTAATAATTTTTTTTTTGATTTTTATATTTTTATTTATTTTATTAGAAAAAATTTTTTTTTTTTTTTTTTTTTTTTTTTTTTAACCCGCAGTCAGGTTAGCATGGCATGTCTTTATTGTATATATACAA